TCCTCCTCCTCCTCCTGAACCCACGACCCGCTCATCCATCGAGAATGTTTCTGAAGGATCCATCAGGTATGCCTGTGGCCGTTAACACATGTTCAGCAATGATGAATAGAGAGGGACCGCTGTGAATGCTTCCTGAAGTTTGGTTGGATCGAGGTAGGTCCAAAAAAAAACAAAAAAAAAAACCCTGGACTGACACCCGCCTTTCCAAGCGCCTTTTTTGAAAACACTCGATATGACTCCTCTTCTTTGGACAAAAACACATGACCTGAATGTGTTGATGATGTACTGAAGGACCCTGAGAGATGACGCATGACGCACAGGTTCATGTTTTGACTTGTGTCACATGAACAGCAGAAAACCTCATGAAGCTCTGAGCATGATTCAGAAACATTCAAATCCACACCACTGACACAGCGGAAACGACATGCTGTGTTCACGCATGAGAGCACCAAATGTCCTTTTGGAAGCAAAGCCCACTGTGTGTGTGTGTGTGTGTGTGTGTGTGTGTGTGTGTGTGTGTGTGTGTGTGTGTGTGTGCATTTATTGTATGTTGGTTTTCTTATTACTGTACACCTTTAAGGAAATGCTCTGAAGGTTTAAATAAAAAAAAGGTAAATAAAAGGTTAAAATCTTCAAATATAGTTTTTAAAGAAAGAGTAAAAATAAATCCCTCTTGTAGTCTGACTCCAGAAACATTTTTCTTCATGCACTTCCCTCTGAATCCCACACACACACAGGAACACGCACACACACATTTTGAAGTCGATGAAAAGAACAGTCTGCCATGAAGGATAAAAGCACAGGATGAGGCAGAGGGATTTCTCCTCTTCATCTCACATCTCAGTTTCCTTCCAGCACATCCAGCAGTCGGCCGGCTTAAGGAGCATTAGCGGTATTTGGTTAGGACGTCACCTTTGCCCCTCAGAACAAAAACAGTAGCCGCTCCACAGCTCCCCTGTGAGGGACAATGGGAATGGAGGTCGGACTTAATAACAGGAAACACAATGGCGTTAAGAGGAAGATTACCTCAGTGTGTTCAACAGATCGCTTACACAGTTGTTGCAGAGAAGCCCAAATGTTTTCGGTTACGCGTTCTCCGTCAGCTGCTGCAGCTCACCCCCCCCCACCCCGAGGAATTCATGAAGTTTTCTATCTCTCTGTCGTATCTGCAGGATCTCAGAAGAAGTCATCAGAACACAGACCTGTCAGATTTTGACATTTGACAGCAAAGTGAGTCTGTGGGGGGGGGGGGTAGAGAAACGCAGGACAGGCAGAGGCAGGCGAGGTTGTAAACAGGATGGAACAGCCTTCCGCTTTATTCTAAATTTGATATGTACAGGAAAAGTGGCTGTATACATTTCTCAATATACCATGTAAAAGTTTTCTGAAAAAAAAAAAAAGAACAAAAACAAATTGCACATCAGCGTCCATTTTTCTTCTACTTTAAAACATGTCATGGTACAGCATGGTTGAAGGCAATGTCAAACGGGAATACAAATACACTGATAACCGCTTGCAAGTGTTGGCTCTTGTAAATAACGTTTAAAAAAAAAAAAAAGCTTCAGGAAGGAGTACCCCTTAAAAATAACATTTTAATGCAATGATATTAAAAACGTTTAAAAAACACACACACACACACATCGTAGTCTGTGTGCTGTAGTGTCACCGACAAACAAATCACATCCTGTCTCTTTTTGTGTAACATTTTTATATTATTTCAGGCACTTGTCGATATCAGACCCTCCGTGACTAAACTAGCTGAACAGTGACGTCCGTAAAGTTTACAGCACAGGTCCAAAAAAAAAAACATCCTTCTAAAATGTGCGAGTTCGGCATGATCGGACGCACTAGTGTTCACAGCAGGAAGTGCAGGCCGCTACAACCAAAACACTTTTACTATTAAAAAAAACAATCCAAGTGGAGAGGGTTATTTCTCCCCCTCACACACACAGACACACACTTTGAATCTTTATTTGGTAACACTTTTCATCGACTTTAAAGCACACTGAGCCAAATGGCCATAGTGTGTTTTTTTTACAACAAGGTACATACATAATGCAAAAGGGTCGTTTCAGTTAGCTTCATACAGAGTGGTGTTGTGAAGTTTTAACTATGTGGAGAAAAAAGTTTTCTTCACCTTTACACTCTTTTCCGTTCATCATTTATCAGCCCTACCACGTCTGTCTCTCTCCCAGCGAGGGTCTTCATTAACCAACAGGAGATAATGTATGTCACGCAGCTTCACTCTGCATATGCGTTGTGTAGGAGTGAAGGGCAATTACGTACCGCCTGTTTGTTTCCCGCTGCTTAATGATAGCCAGGTTTTATTTCTATTTTTTTTTTATATTTCCCTTTTGTGTTTTTTTTTTTTTTTTCCAGAGTTCGACCTCAGCTGGATCTCATTTGTTCGTTTGCAGGCAGAGACACAAACGATAGTGATGTCAGAGAAGGGAAGGTTAAGACTAAAGAGGATCTGTTGCCACCTCCTGCAGCAATTAAGAGCAGAGGGGCTGCTTTGCTGTGCTGGTGATTTTTTTTAAGCATGTGTCATCAACGCCCAAGGTCTTCTTCCCCCGACCTACAAGTACAGCAGCTGGTTTCGCTGATTACACTCCTCCATTTTGAATAAGAAAAAAAAAAAAAAAAAAAAAAAGCATTTGCAAGGTGTGATTGGAATTAAAGAAGTCAAAACCTGCATGTCATAATGGAGCAAGCTTCTGGACCAGCATGGTTCCTTATTAAAATCACAAATGTCACTGGTTTAAAGGGTTAGTTCATCCAGATTAGGAGATAACTCTGTTCATTCACAGCACTTTCCAGAAATGCAGCAAGCTTTGGTTTATTTTTGTCCCAAGTTTTGAGATTTCTAAACCCTTTCAAAATACTTCTGAGGAATATAAAAATGTATAACGTTGCTCTCGCTGTGACATTTGAGTAAGATTTAAACACCACATCATCAACATTTGGTACCAGAAATGGTCAATTTATGAAAGGTCAGTGAAATTATTTTAATCCAGTAGCCACGCTCGGATGATTTACCAACTGGGTCCAAGTAAATTTGTAAATAATAAAAAAAAAGGTTTACCATGAAGTTACATTCATAGGAAGCCGAAGTGAAGGTCAATATCAAACCCTCTTGGCACATTAATTGCCAGCAAATTCAAAATAGAGGATGTTATCTTAGCTCATTAGCTGAGTTTTAGCTACTGTTTTTAGAGAACTATCCTCTAAATCCTCTAAATCAGGGCACAATTCTGTCTTTTAAACTAAATGTATTAACGATTGTGTTGCCAGCAACTGAGGTAACGAGCAGCAGTTAGCGTTAAAGTGACAGTTAGCAAGCTAGCTAACTCACACAGTTATTGAGCTGTCTCATTTGTCTGGCTCGTTCTCTAGCTCTGCAATTATGTCATCAATCTTCTTGGGAGCCTATCTTTATTTTCCAAGAGTTCCACAGAGTCCCGCCCTGCTGTGCTGTGATTCGCTAGTTCGTATGTGCTGTGATTGGCTAGCTCTATTATGCTAGAATCAGCTAGAAAAGCTTAAGGATATAAAAAAAACAGGACATGGAGAATGCTGTTCGATTCTTGGATAGATCGATAAATATACTTTAACAGAACATGTTCATTATCTCCACCTGGATTTATGATTTTGGTGCATAAACATTACAAACTGTGGTTGTCATTCTACATAAGCTTCCCACTTAGTTTTCGGGAAAAACAAGAGTTGAACATGAGACATGAACATGAGTCCTTTGTACTCCTGGGGGAGAATCTTTCTGTAGGAAAACATCGAGGAATTCCAGCACAGTAGGACCGGGTGAGGGTGAACTCTATTACGTCTTGCACTGAATATTATGTGAGGACGCACAGATTTGCTTTGACACTCTGCAAGGGGATCAGAAAAAATAAACACATTTCAGAGAAACACACCGGGAAATGTTTTTGTCAATCTCTGAATAAGTTCAGTCTGTTTTTGTAAATCTGAAGAAGAGTGTCAGGTGTTAAAGGGCAGAAAAAAAGCACTAACTGCAAATTAAAAGCAATTAACTACTTGGGACAACTCTGCAACTGTTTTGTTAAAATCTGGACAAACGCTGCAGCTAATCTCACACTGAGAGGCTTATTGTCGGTTTCTACCCATCTTTTTTTTTTGTCTTGTTGCTGTTATTCCCCTCTTTTTGTCAGAAGCCGGGCCCTCTGTCGGTGCCTCTGGTGGCAGCTTTCTCTGGCTCTGGCAGGCAGCAGGTGGCTTGTGATGAAAAATTCAGTGCAGAGCCTGACTCGGGAGACGAGGAGGAGGGGAGGAGGGGAGGAGGGGGAGGAGGGGAGGAGGGGAGGAGGGGAGGAAGAGGAAGGGGAGGGGTGACATGAGAGGAAGGTGGGAGATGAGTGTGAAGCAGGGGAGGATGAAGGTTGGGGGTGTTGAGGTAGAAGAAATAAAAGGTAATGAACAGAGAGAATGACAAGAGAGAGGATGGGAACCAGAGCTCCAGACAGACCGACAGGCAGGCGGGCCAGGGAATCAAGCCCAGAGCGGTGCAGGGGGGCCAGGCAGAGGATCAGAGCTGTCTACCCTCTCTCTGCCTGGGTCTCCTCCACGGAGATAACACACGATATGAATCATTTATGAAGGGGGGGGGGGCTTTTTTATTTATTTTTATTAATAACACACACACACACTGTGCCCTGCTTCTTTCATACACTTTGCCGTGTTTCCTCTGCTCCCCGGGGGAGTACTCAAGTGAGAGAGCGAAGATCGCTGAGCAGAAAAACACCGCATGGAGAGAAGAAAACAGGATGCAGAGAAACGCCAGCAGCGTTTGTAAAGGGGGGGGGGGTTGAATGTTAACTTTGAATTTGTGAACCGATTGGAAGAGTCATCCGTGGGACACTTTGTAAAGCCACGACACACACACACACTCGATTGTGAAACATTGTACCTTGTCACTTGCCTACACACATAAAAACCCACACAGAAAACTAACACCCCCCCCCCCCCCCCCCCGTGGGCTCAAAGGAAGCGCCCACTCACTTGCCCGTCTGCCCATTTTTGATTGTCAGCACGTGACTGTTGCCAAAACGCTGGATGAATCAGAGTCTCTGGACGAGCGAGAAGAAGCATCGTGTCCGTGGATGCAGAGAAGGCACTGAGCGTCGCACGTCTGTAGGAGGGACCGCTCGCTTGTACAGTATAGGTCAGCTGCACAGCGGGGGGGGGGGGGGGAGTGAACACAAACACCCACACTTCACTAAGATCACCGCTAAGCTACATGACCTCTAGCTCGTCCCTTTTGTCAAGATGTGTAGCGTCCACTCCTGCTGTTTGTGTAAAAGTTCTCCGTCCGGCTTTTCTTTCCATCAGTCCAACAAAACTCCTCAAGAGTAAAAAAGTCTTCCCTTCTCCGACCCCAATCTATTCAGCCTCGCTAACTGCGACGGCGAAGGCGGCACGTCATGGCGGTAGGGCCCTTTCGGAGACGCGGGGTCCTTCAGGTGCCCCGTGGAGTACCCTTCATAGCTGCTCTCCTGCATCAGCTTCCCTTTGGCCTCCTGCTCTCGACGCCTCTGCTCCTGCCTCAGCAGCTCCTGGGCCTCCAGGAGGACTCGGGCGTTGACGCCGCCCCCGCCCGGGTAGCCGTTCCTGGAGCCCTGGTAGCTGGAGTACCTGGGGTTGTCCTTCGCCGTCTGGAAGCCCTCGCCCGGCGGGTACACTTTGTCCCACGAGTCCTGCGAGATGGTGCTGGGGTTCTTCCTGGGTTGCCTGAACGTGGAAAGAGGAAACAGGAAGAGGGGCATGTGAGATGTGGTTTTTACTTTGGCTTCAGAAGATTTCTTTAATGAAATATCTTCACTTCTTTTGGTCAAGCAACAATAAATCATTTTCATTGTAAGTCAGCAGGTTTTAAACACATAGTATGTATTGTATGTTGTGTAAAGAGAGGAGTCTTAAAGGGGACATATTCTGAAAAATCCACTTCTTCAGTGTTTTTGAACATTTATTTGGGTAACCTGAGTGTCTACTGACCCACAAAATGTGAAATAAACCCATCCAGTACTTTGTTTGTGGTCTGCATAAGTCTTACAACACAGAGAAAAATTCTCCGTTTCAAATGTGCTCTCCTTGTGATGTCACAGTGGGATTCTGGTAAAAAAAAAAAATCCCTCCCCTGGTATCTCCACCCATGGACTCCACCCCCAGACTAGAGCAAAACTTTTGCGCAGTTCTGCCATTTTTATTCTCGCTACAGAGGAGTGATGTCTACCTGGAACACTCAGGGGGGCTCATTGGATTTAAAGAGACACACACACCAAAATGTAGCGTTCTGAGAGAGCTGGTTTATACAGAGTCACAAACCTCCTCTGGTGCTTGATTCATGTTATATTTTGACCAAAGCACAGCACAGATGTTTCATTTAGACCACAGGGGACTGATTGAAAGGTAAGAAAAAGGCTATAATATGTCCTCTTTAATTTTCTGTGGATTGATTGTCAAACAGGAAAAAGCATATTCTTGTTTTGGAACTAGACTTTCTTTATGAGTTGGGTGATGAAAACACAAACTGTAATGTTGCCATGAGGTAAGCGGTGTGCTGCACCTAACTTCTGAGATATCTGCTTTAGTTTGCATTCAAAGGAAATTAAGGTTTTGGGCCCAATTTTAACATACTGTATTGCAGTCTTAATGACTCATAGGTAAAGAAAGTTTAGGAATCAATCTGGTTGATTGGCTCAGCTAGCATCCAAGAAATGTCTGTAATATTTTAGAGACTGCTTACTTACATAAAGCAAGTGTTTCCTAATCTTTATTCAAAGGTCCTAATAAAACAGGTTTTGCTACAGATAAACATTTTTGTTTAGAAGGAGGTTTTAGGAGTGATATATAAAACTTCAAAGCCATTCGACTCCAGGGTCTTGTGGTTTGTGTGGCCCGGGTTTGAATCCAACCTGAGGCTCCTTTCTCGAATGTCCTATCCCGCTTTCTCTCTCCCTGATGTCTGACTCTGTCCACTGTCCTGTCTCTCTTATAAAGGCATAACAAGTCTAAAATTGAATCTTACAAAAAAAACACAAGCGGTGAGTTTTTATGTGACACATTTGTGAGGTTGAGAAACTGGGATTTTTGATGAATGGATACAGATCAGTTGATTCAGTATAAAATAATTCCAAACAATTCAACCTCCTCCTGTTGGCTCCTTCTCTAATACAATCCTTTCCTTTGTTCCTAACTCACCACTTGAACCCTCTTTGCAGATTATTGTGACCTCTTTTGGTGAAACAAAATATCAGCAGCAGCAAAACAGTTTTTCTCTAACCCAATTACCTCCTGGCAGACGGACTAAAGTGTTTGGATGCTCTGGTGAAAATACATTTCTGTCAGTCGTAGAGTAGCCAAGACATCACGTTCGATGAAAATGAGGGACCATTACGGCCTCACATGATCCCCCTGGGCAAGTAGCAGCCCTGCGGTAACAACGTGCAGGGATACCTAACCATGTCAAAGCCCCCATCCAGCCCATTAGGCCCCCTTCAAGACAGACACAGACAACCATTGGATCTGACAAGACAGCAACAGTAAGACCCGTTCGAGGTTGGAAAAAAAGATGAGGCGACCATGTCAGCAATGGATTTGCTCGGGGCTGATATTTGACACCTGACACATGTGTCTTAAAGGCACAGTTAGTTGTCACGCTTCTGTCGGGGGGGGGCTGCCTCGCCCCTTTACAAGAAAGGTGGTGGAGAGAAAGAAAAAAAGATGCAGATGTGTGACATGAGCTCTCATTTCTGCTTGACTAGGTTCTATCTGGCAGCACATATGATATGCATGAGTGTCCCAAACCCTACAGCTCCACCTTCATTTATCCCGAGGGCAAGGAAACACCCGAGGAAAGAGAAAGAGAAGAAGACACAAAAACATCAATGGGCTTTTGACTCGGAGCCATGCATAATTAGCAGGTTTATCAGCCAGCTGTGAAGAAATCGTATTATTCCTGTGTTTGGATTTGAGTAGGAAGTGAAGAGAAAAAAGAATCCTTAATGAGAACAGAGAGGACCTTTGTTTTTTATCCAAGAGAGATTGAATCCAATTGGAGATGGATACGCTTCTCGATCGGTGTGATATGGAGTATGCAGCCCAGGTTTATTCTTGCACACGGTTGAGTGATTCCAATTTTCAGAGACGGGCATCCCCGGGATCTGATTTTCATTTTTACATGTTGACAAAGAGGCCAAAAGCTGGTCCGACCCCCCACCCCCCGCTGAGAAATGCAAAGCAGATCGCTTCTCTCTCTCTCCGTGTGAAGCCGTGCCAAGGGGGAGCAATGTACATGTGTGGTAAATACAGAAAGACATGTTCTGTCTTCTGTGCATGCACGCGATGAAGCATGACGGATGATAAAATAGAGAAGGGGAAAAGGTGACGGAGGGAGATAAAAAAGAGACTTTGTGAGAGGTGGTAGAGCGAGGCAGATGTTCGTGTGGTTCAGACACACACCAGTGGGACGCCATGCCTCTGCAGCTGTTGCAGAAAAGTCTCCAATAATGCCATTAAACTGGTTCTGAGATCAATGGCGTCGTCCAGTAGATGATGAACATGAGGTCCCTTCATGCAGCGTCACTGGTTCAAATGGCAGCGGTTTAAGTTCTTGTTTGGGATAAAGGTCTCACCCAGAAGAGAACCGACCTTTTTCCAAAATGAAAGCAGTTTTTTTTAAGGAATGCCTGGGCCATTAATCAAGTCTCCTTTCATGGAGCATGTCACACGACTTCAGCGAGGCCATACGCATCGCATCAAGGCTGTGATCTCCGAAACCGCCATATTTACTTCCTTCTCAGCCTCTGACTTGACACACGATGGAAAGTCAAACAATGGTTGGTGTTCTCCAGATACTCCAGCGGGGTTTATCCAAACAGAACAGTTTCTTAATGGAATTAGTGGAGGGAAAATAAAGGGGACGAGGCCACAGGATGTTGCCTCTGACCGCTGGAGCAGCACGGTAGTTCATTAATCTTTCAGCAAAAGCTGCCTGCAATATTTATCAAGGAAGGGATTTATGCCGATAACAGTGGATTAGAGTACGATGGTGAAGTAATAGAAGATAATGTATTTAATGTTGTGTATGTATGGTGAGTGCACTAGGCCTGAAATCGCAGTGTGTTTGAGAGGCTGAGTGAGAAATAACAGACTACTTAGAGAGACAATAATACCTTTGACCGTATTAAAGTCCCTCAAGAAGACGAAAAAAAAACTCTTCTTAAAGGTCTCTACCAATGTTGTTTTAGAGACGTTAGCAGATGTAAGTCTTCCACTTTCTCAAACCATTTTTAAAGCCAGGCCCTTCAGTTTACATCTTGTTTCTCTTCCTGATACAGATTCAAACATCTAGACCTCTGGTTCTTAAATGGTGGGTCTGGACCCAAAAGTGGGTCTTGCAGCAGCTTTCAGTGGGTTGCAAATCTATTCCTGGTAAATGAATGTGGTCAAAAACTCTATGATTTTTTTAACATGCAAGTTTTGCTAAATTTCCTTGTTCTGTATGTTTTGTACCATCTGAGGTCCAAACTGCACAATTTTGCATCAAATAAATCTGATAACACCCGACGTCCAGCCTCCACCATCGGACTGCGTCGTCCCCTCAACCACCGCCGTCCTCATTACTGCACGGCCTGCTCCGACCTCCACCTCAGCACGAAGTGTGGACAACAGGAACGTGAGGAATACAAAGGAGAAATCCTTCCTGCATCTATAATATAATATGAGTATTATGCTCTTTTGTAAAGCGTCTCACGATAACCCTCGTTATGAATTGGCGCTACACAAATTATAATTTATTGATTGATAGCTGGAAAATATCAGAAATGTGGGTAGCGATTTTTCGGTTTAAAAGGCTTCAGTAACACTTGTAGTACAAAAATCAACTTTATTAGAACTTTGCTTTTAGATCTTGTTTTATGCTCAGTTTGCCTGATTTCACCTGTTTGACTTTGACTTATTCTAATTGGAGTACTTTGAGATTTCCTTCAAATGTAAAGCGCTTTATGAATAAAATGTATCATTTATTATTATTATTCTGACAACAAAATCTCTTAACAATCAAATGTATCTCTCTGTTGATATTTGCTGTTGGAAGCGTGAGCTTTAAATCATCCCATCTGACACCGACCCCCCGACATCGGTTAAAGGGCTTAAAACATAACGATGTCTAAATACTTTATCTTATGACTGATGGTCATGTTTGCTTCTGTTGGTCATCATGAGGCATCAGAGTTGATTTCACTCTGTTTCAGATCCTGTTAAAAACTCCTCACAGGGACTTTAATGTCAGAGAAAATCCACTTTAAACCCAAATCTCAACGATATTCAATCTACTTTGAAATTATGAAAGATGTTCCCATGTTCCCATCACACACACACACACACACACACACACACACACGCAGTAGCACTTCCTGGAACAACAGGCAGTCGTATCATGCAGATCAAAGGGAATTACATTAAGGGAGAGGAAAGCAATCATGTCAGATCTGTGTGAGAGGGTAACGTGATCTTTCCATTCGGAGGCTCAGTGTGAGTGTGTCCCGTGTGTGTTTGTGTGTTTTGTGCGTGGGATTGTGTGTAGTTGTGTGGCTCGAGCCTGACCCTCTGTGACCCCCTTTTCTTCCTCAGATGCTATATTTGAACATGTATGTAATCTGCGATCATTACTGACTCAAGGCTATTACCATGAATCTGACATAGACAAGCGAACCCGAGTGCACACACACACACACACACACACACTCACACACAGACACACACAACACACACACACACACAAACACAAACACATTACAGTACATTACTGCACATTAGATTGAATTACAGATCTAAAACAGACACAAACACAGTCACAACCTCCCGGACACATTTCATATCAGACAGACAGCAGCACACACACACACACACACACACACACACACACACACACACACACACACACGAGCACATATTGATTGTTAGACAGAAACAAACAAACATCAAACACGACATCACATCACGCCTGTCCAACACACACACACACACACAGGCGGTCACTCTTACCGTGGCAGGGAGCTGTACTGCCGCTGTGCCTGGGCGAACGAGTCTCTCTCCTCCTGTCTCTGCCTCTGCATCTGAACCTCGACGGACACCGAGTGACGACCCGGCTGGCTGTACCCGCCCGGACCGTTACTGCTGTTGTTTGACTGAAAACAGCGAGACGGCAGCTCAGGTTAACTCTTTAAGATCTCAATGTCATCAGATTCATTACATCTATGTTTTTATAACTCTGCAACTAAATAGACAAGATGTAACATAAAGTCAGAGGAAATGTGCATCAGAAGGTCAAATATGATGTTTACAATGATAATGAATTCATGGATCTCAATGCAGGAAACACCTCTTTCCTCACAGGTAAGTATAGAAACTAATACATACTGTAACACGTGAGTTGCTCATTGTATTTAAGGATCATTTTCTACTGATTTGGTCTACATTAACTTTACTCACAGTGTCTTAAAACTCAACTTAAAAATAACAATGTAAATCTGTTCTGTCATACAGAAGTGCTTAACTACGGAGGCCCTGAAGTCCAAAAAGTAAAATAAATTACTTTTGGGCACAATATAATTATCTTGTTCCCACAAGTAGTTCTTCAAACTTTTAGAGACTTCGGGAGCTCCGTACCTAACAGACATACCTCTTTTTTACAACGTCTACCCGTGATGATGATTGATTTAGAGTTTTTTTCTCCAGATCTGGACTTACTTATCTCGAGTTAACAGTGCAGGGTTTCCCTTGATAAGGAGTAAATTTCTTGAGATCTCGAGAAATCAACTGAGATGAACTCATTATCACAGGAAAACCAGAGTTTGTCAATCCAGGATCACTAAGTCGAGATCAGGAAACAACCAAAATGTTCTCATTATCAAAGGAAAACAGAGTAAATAAAATGTATGGAAGCATGTCCTCTCAGGGCTTTACTTAAAGGATTGAAAAAACATGAATTTGAAAGTGTTTATGGTATTCATTGCCGAGCATTAATCCTGTTTTTTATTTTGTATTTTTGAGTTGTGGGAGGCTAAGAGGGGTCATAGATAGCTTTTATCTGTGTTGTCACTACCTGGAGTCTTGCATGTACAGTACTGAAGCTGGGTCTGTTGAAGGTGGCAATGCTGTTTCGGTTGCCGTGGCAACTGAGGGCCATAGGGTAGGTTATGTAACTTATCAGTAGGATATAGGGGCATGACTGGAGCACAGGGTGTCTACACATTAGGCACATCAACACAGTATTTCCTCACATTAGGCAAATCAAGGATTCTGCATCGGCTAAATGTCAGCAGAGGAAAGTGTGAAAATATTTTCTATTTCGACCTCTCGACTGAAGTATTGCCTTATTGTGGCTGTGAGAGGAACATGTCAGTCCACTGTGCAGGAGATGCTGTAGTATTTTGTGTAATCAGAGCTCCATATTTAAACCATTAAATGAATATTAGACTTTTAAAATGAGACCCTGAGCTTCCGTCAAAACAAACCTCAGATATCTTTTAAACATGGCAAGAAAAAACATGAAATATGAAGATCATTTTATAATTATGGACTTTTTAAAAACTATTTTTTTTAGCTCATTTTGTTTTGGTTATTATTTCAGGACATTCTTTTCTTTAGTTGCCGGATCTAATGGACATTTTTTGGTTGTTAAGTAAACATTTTTGACCTTAAATTGGGTATTTGTTTTAATTTCAGTTCAACTATTTGGAAACAGGGTTGTAAAACATTGAGATCCAATGATATATGAGGTGTATCTCGTTTGTCATTATAATAATGAGGAAATATTCACTCCACAAAGGTTCTTTTTAAATACCTTTGTTCAAATTCACAGCATTAAAAATCACCACGACTCGAGTCAGGGTTTCCAAACAGTAGCAGTCTGTGACACATGACACCTCACAAAAACTCCCAGAACCCCCCTCCCTCCCTCCCTCCGCCCCCTTTAGAGTCCAAACCACAGACACTTACCAGCAGTCAGTCGGGCAGACACACCCTGAGCTCGTCTCTTCTCAGGTCAAAATGAAGGTGAGACATAAACAGACAGAAGGAGGAGGGGGGGTTGTGTGAGGACGGGGGCCATGCTGGAGAGACTCAGAACAGGGGGGGTGCAGTGATGAGACACGGTGGATGTTAGTGGGTGTTAATGAAGGACACAACACTCAGTCTGTTGGATAACGTGACCGTCCTCCCTCCAAAGATAAACACTCCTGTGAGGGTCATAATGTTACAGAGGGCGTAGACATGAAACACGTAGATTTGAATGGATATACCCGCCTCCTAGACATTCATTAAAATATACTTATGCATCTTCTTATCCCCAGAGGTGTTCTGTATCCTTGAAACAACCATGACTTAAAATAAGTAAAGCTTATATTAATAGCCACAGAGATGAAAAGCCTGCCAACATGGCCTTCCACTGGGTTCATCCAATTGTTTCTCTGACTCCTAAGTCAGGACACTTTCACAACCTTCATTTACTCTCCCCTTAGAGAGACTGATTTTGAGGCTCTTTCTGAAGCAGCTTTCGAGAAGTTCACCTTCGACCTACTTCTCACCTCCAGACAGGTAAACTTGTCAGTTTTAGAAAGTTGTGAAGTTTCTTAGATTATGCCACCCAAATCAGAAAGCAAAAATGTTATGGACATGAGTGTGTTCTCTTGATAAGCACTTTGTTTAAAGCGAATCCCTTTAGCTATGAGGCCAGCCCTTGTCTAACCACGGTCTTCAACCTTCATCCAACCAGAGGACTCCCCTAAAGCAAATCTCTATTAACATTTATGTGCATAGACAAAATCTATAAGCGAGGGACAGGATAGTTGAGGCTGGAAGCATTCTGAGTTTTTTTTTCCAGCTAAAAAAGACCAATGTACTTTGAGCTGGCTTTGATTTGATTGGCCCCTTGGCGACAAATAACGTTTTTGGAATTGAATGGATGAATTGAAGTTAAGTAAGGACGACTTCACAAACTAAACCTAACCCTAAGGCTTTAGGAGGTCAAATCATCAGGGTCTGATCATGAAAACGTTGATAAAATTGATCTTCATACGACGCATGTTACTTGAGCCTTTTGACCTCTTTGATAACAAGTGAGAAAGAAGTCCATGTGAGGAGCAAAAGAGGTGAAAAACATTTATTGGAATGTGATCCAGGAACCCATTAGCCTTCCTCAGACATGACTTTGTCTTTCTGTGAACAGATAGCTCTATAACAGTGTGGTTAACAATGTCTCTTGACCTCACTCCGACTCCATTCTCATGTCTAAAGTTGCTAGTTGGACTGTAAACAATGACCAGAGGATGGAGATGGAAGATAACCAGCATGTCAGTAATCAATTTCTTCTGACTACACGTGAACCCACTGGATATTTGTCGTTGCCTCCAGAGGCTAAATTGTCGTCAAAATGTAACCAATTGGTAACGAGATAAACCAGATGCTAACAGCTTCTCAAACAGCCCATTGAAAAAATAAAGACCGGCCTAAATGTCTTCCCTGTTGAGGTTTTTTAACAGGGTCTTTGCAAAGACAGATGAGAAAGTTTGCACCCACACTCAAACAACTAGAAGCTATTATTCCTCTCAGCAGCAGAGCGCCACCTCAAACTTCAGCCCACACTTGTACCACAACCCCCTTCCATCCGCTCGTCCGATGTTCATTAGCGGTGTGGGTGCAATAACTGCGAGCGGATCAGTCGTTACACAAAGCCAATGCAATTACTTTTATGGCAGTGCAGAGTGTCGGGAGCCTGGCGGGAGCACTGTGGACATCAGTTGGTGGGAAGAACATAAAGCGATTAAGAGCGCTGAAGAGACACTCCCCTTTAAACCCAATGAGGCCAGGGGGCAATCACCTCTGGAATTGATGGGCATTGCCTCGCTACCCGGGGGCCGACGATAAAGAACAAGCTGGCCGAGACCTGAGATGGAGGGAGTGAAGCACCCACGCAAAACCTTTTTCCACAGCTGAATGGAGAATCACCCGCGGGTAAATTACAGTCCCAATATATTTCACATGAGAAGGAAAGTCCCTTTAGAGGTTTAGGCATATTAAAATATTCCTAGGACTGCTAGCTCACTTGGTGATTTTTGAGGAGAGGAGCGGAATACCCTGAAGGAATACACATAATAGAAGTGTTAAAATGTTACAGTAAAATACAAGAGGCAATCGTATGCCATTTTTTTTTAAACCCCCTAACTTCAAGAAAAACGAACTCCTCATTTCCCGTCGTGGTATAAATGAGAACAATAAAGCTGGCGCGGTGCTGCCGGGAGAGCGGGCATCAGTCATCCTGATGGAATTAGACCATGCGCTACCCACAATCCCCCGGCAGCTTTCCAAATGATTGGGGGGAGAAAAAAAAAGAAAAAAATATTGCTAAAAACTGATGGCTTTAACGGGGAGGGGTTGGGAAAACAGCTCGTGTTGAAAATGGATAATTGGGCAAATCAAGCACAGAGGTCGAGAAAACTGCAGGGTGGATTCTGCAACACTTTACTGGAGGTGTCATTCAATGAGGTCACCCAAGGGTCCAGGATCCAAAACATGGCTGGAAGGTGCACAGCAACATGATTGGATGAAACCAGTATTACGCAGGGTCGTTAAAAAGTAAAGGACGATGCCAACCAAACTAGTTGATTCCCCTTTTGTATAGACCTATATTAAAATTAACTTCTATTTTCAGCCCTTTTAGGCTCTATTCAATCTATTTGGCATGCTCTTGCACCATAAAAACCCATTTTCCTGCCTTATAAAAAGCAGCCGTATCTCATGTGGACTGCTCTCCTGGCAGGGACTGTAAGTGGGGCAGCTGTAGGTGAATTAAGAAAAAGGACACTGGCTCCTTGAGGTTCGCAGCACATCACTCAGATGAAGCAACAAAATGTAATATATGCATGGGGGAGGTAATTGAATTTCAAAGACACATTCTCCTGTTTTCCATATGGCCCCGCCACACTGGCCAGGGTGAGTCTAATAACAGGCAACTACTACGGCAAGCATGAGCTGCACACTCATAGGAAAAAAGGGTGTTAGAAGAGACCATCGGAGGGTTCCTCAGGCTGAAATCACTGCTGAACAACAGGAGGGTCCCAATGGAGCACAGAGCTTAGGTTAAAATATGAAGAACGTATCCATTGTAATAAATGGGAATGGGAACTATAGGAATGGAAGCTGGCTTTTGCAGAACTAAAAAACTAAGAGGTACAGGATCAGGTTTAAATACTTTTGGATTAGATTTGGATTCATAATATGATTTTCTTAGTTTTTGAGTCTTTGATTTAAGCAAGGTTCTTTTTCTGTTTCCTGTGCTGGAAAAATATTTGCTGCTTTGAAAAATGTTGCTTTCTAGGAACCCTTATCAGTCCAGAAAGAAGATGATGAATATAAAATGTAGTTTCGTGTTGGTACAGAGCTCAGGTAGCCTGTCCTATGGACCCCACTACTTTTCAATAACAATACCAGTTTCACGTAAAAGATTGCTTTTATTGTCTCATTTGAAACAAGAAAACTGATTGGTGGGTTATTCTAACTTTTTTTTCAATCAGTGTTCCGCCCAATTCAATCCAATATTAGACATTTAAAAAAAATATCTAACTTTAGCTAATGATAAGGTTAATAGAAATACGAGAAAAATAGGTTTTAAGGGATTTTTTTTATAAATGTGTTGATTCGTTGAAAGAACCATAAACGTTCAAAAGCCCTCTTTGGCATCAGGGGAATCCTTAACTTGGGAACTTGTGAACATGGGAACATTTCAACAACATTTATTGTGCTGCTGCTTTTCCTGTAAACAAACATAATGCTGTATTATTGTTGAGCTCTATAATTGAGAGCATGCTCGGGTTGTTTGGAGACAAAGGGAGAGGTGACCTGTGCACTCCTTTCCCACACTGTCCTGCAATCCTGCCCCGAGCAGTGCCAGCCTGGAATGTGCACCAGTCTGCAGAACCCAGTGAAGGCACCACTCTCGTAAATATTTCAATACAACACAGATCTATGCATTGTGTTTTTATTGGATTTATCAGCTAAGAAAAAAAGGCCAGAGCACAGATGATTTAGTTTGTGAGCTCTCACTTTATCGTTTCATTTATAAATCACAGGACTGAAAAACTCTCCCATTGCACACCAAACACTGGGCAAAGCTACAGTGTGGAAACATTAGTAAAAAGAGTTCATACATAAATGTACAAAAACACAGCTGTGTGTGCAAAATGACCTTGGGTAGAGAGATGAACCACAAGGACCATTCAAATGTCGAGCTGTAAAGGACGTGATAAACAACACTCAGGGCGTCTAGTTTGAGACAAAATACATTTTAAAATCTTATCACCAGAAATTTCATAACTTATGTTACAAAGTATGGTGTCCATGATGTGTTTATATGAAAAAAATGTGGTGACTGAATATGTGTACAGTGAAGAAAATGTGTCTTGTCCCAAACTAGATAAAGGAATGTGGTGAAAGTTCATCCTTAGTGTTACACAATATTATATTATAAAGTACACACAACACAGAAGTGCTAACAATTACAAAAAAAGTAGTAAAATCTCATTTTCAAGATTTAAAAATTGATTATACATTCCTCATTTGTGACTGAAAAGTATGTGAAACCTTGAGTACACTTGAGTTGCAGTGTAAGGAAGCGCTGAGGACTAAAATAAATACTAAAAATATGACAAGCGATTTCATCACCCACCAAAAAAAACTTTGAAGGCGTTCAGATTTTGTTCGCTTATTATTACCATTTGTTGCTTCAGAACGTTCTTATTCTCCCTCTTCTAGGCTCTGAATTAAATAAATGCTTGTGTAAATGCTCACCTCACCTTTGAACTGTAAAAAAAAAAAGGCACAATGAAACCAAAAGGGGGTGACAAATGAGACAGGAGAAACAATGTCCATGAGGGGGGTGGGTGGGTCCATGTGGATGAGTGACGGACAGGACGATGGATGAGTAGAGTAGGATGTGACGGGTGGGTGGGGTTAGTGATGGTTTGGTCAGGAGGTGTGCAAACTCCTGCATGCAGGTGGTTGAATTAGAAGGTGAGGAGGTGTTAGCGTTAGCACAAGTAGCCAGGGAGGCCCATGGAGGGTTAATGGTAATCCTAAGGTGGGGGACAGAATGACATCATCAGTCTTTGTTCATGGCTGGTAGTAGTGGGGTTAATGCCATGCTCCAGTTAGCCACAGGTACAGGCGCTAACACTGTTAGCTCTCTCCTCAGGCTACAATGGAATAAGCATGTCCAAAGTCTTGGTCTGATCAGAGGTCGTTTTCTTGACATTAACAGTCTGACAGTCGAGAAAATCTTCTCCGGCACCATTTTTGTGCCACCGCTTCCTCTCATTTCAGACACTCACCCACGGCTGCTCGAAGCTGTACGTCCTCCTGCGGTCGTCGGGGTCTTCCGGGACGTTCTGGGACTGCTGGAACTCCTGCCTCAGCCTCTGTATCCGGTCGTGGTTGCTAGGGGTTAGCCGGTTACTAGAGAGAGAGAGAGAGAGAAGAGCGGGGAAGGGATTGATGAGAGTGTGAGAGGTCCATTGTGAACAAGTGACCTGGTTCCATCAGAGCAGGGCGGAAATGGCCTGCAGGATGGACTTATTTAAAATCCAATGGGCTTTGTCCTTTAATTGATCAAACACACTGTTGACACTAAGAAAAGCAACCCAGATATGTTCAACCTGGAAAATACATAAAAACATGATAAGTGAGGGCAGAGCCAAGAGGAGGCCTTACAGCAGAATCAACAGCAGTATGAATCAAACTAATGTGCCTCTGATGTATTATTCATAACAATGAACAAAGACTAGTGATGAACGGTGAGCAGTACAACAACACACCCCCCCCCCCCCCATCCCTCCCGGCCTTGTATCATTCAACTAGCGCGCCGCCATTGTCTGCTGCAGCCCTGCCGTGCTGACATCAAACAATGCTGCCTTGAGTGCAACTTCCTCATGGTCCATTGAACAGATGCACTCGAGCTGGTCACTCCACTATTTGTTCAACAACTGGAACTATATAACCCGGTATTGAGTCCACAATGCTGAGTGATTAAATATGAATAGTTTTACAGATGTAGCTGGTTGACAACATGTACAATGATGGATTTGAGGGTTGTTAACATGTCTCTTGAACTCATGTCAAAAGGGTAAATCCATACATGTTGGTGTAAACGGCGATTTGAGATGTCGTGATATTCTGATTTCAAAGCATTCCAGAGATATAGTTCTGTTTCTCTACCGTCCCTGGGAACTGTTTGCTGTTCAACTTGTTACAGTTATAACTCGTCTTATCAAGCAAATGAGTTCCAATGAGTATCAGGTCGAGGCAAGAGAAGAAAAAAAAACATTAGTAAAACTGAAATGAAAGTCAAAATGCCAAACATGTAATCATCTGTTTGTTTGTTTTTTGGTCCTTTTTGCCTTTATTGGATAGGACAGCAGAAGAGAGACAGGAAATGTTTGGAGGAGAGAGTGGGGCAAAGGGCTGAGGTCAGATTTCAACCCAGAGCCACTGTGATTAAAGGACTATAGCCTCTACATGGAGCGTGTGATATAACCACTAGGCTATCGGCTCTCCTGTAAACATCTGTTTAAAAAAACCTCTTCCTCCATGTAGTATCTTTTCTCAAATCTTAAAATTTTAAATCTATATCTTTGTTCTTGACAAGTCCACGTTATCAGTTTACTTCACACTTCCAATTAAGGGGTGAAAAAACGTCTGGCTTGATTAACTTTTCTGGAAAACACATTGTGTCTCTCAACCTGTGTGTGAGAATAGGAGTGTCAGGGTCGGTGAATGAAGAAACCAGCAGGGGGGAGCCTTGACTTCCAGCTTTACTTCTTCACTTCCTAACTATGCCAGGAAACTCCAGGGGACCGTCTTATCTTTAACCCTGGAAGGTGGAACTTTTCCAGCCCCAAAGCCCCCCAGGAGTTTATTTGCAGAGCTTTTTCCTGTTTGCATTGGAAAACTTTAATGTTAGCAAAACGACTTGTTGGGAAATTTGATTAAAATGCGGCACAAAATACAGCTGCATTAAAAAAACCTTTTTGTAATTGCCATATCATGACAGTAACCGGGCAGCTCAAACATGCAGTATATCGGTTTCTTTATCAGGTCCAAAAGAATGACTTCATCTTTATCTGCAATAACTGCCAAAAATCATTTTATCCATCACAAAAAAAAAACATGTAGATGGGTTATAATGAAGTAAAGTAAAACACAGCAGCACCGCCAACATATCCAGTTTATTAACTCCAGACACACACAATGGAAAAAAACAGAGCCAGTCAGCCTTGTTAAAGACCAGGAAGCTGTCATATGTGATCCTGCTAATCTCCATGATAAGTAACACAGTCGCTTGGTCTATTTGGGACGCAGCTGACCTGATGGCTGGTACCTTTGTGACCCTGAAGCTATGGGTCAAGGCCTAAGTGTCGGCCTGAACAGAAAGGTTCATATGTTAGCAAATGTGTGTTAAACTTGAAGAAAATACAGAGCCTGAGGGATCAGAACTGTTACTTAGTTTAGCTCAGGTAAGTCCACAATAAACACAGGAATTCAGTGTGAATTTAGCTCCACTGTTTTACAGATGAAATACATCTCCTCTCCTGAGATAGTCGCTCAACCTTGTAATCAAAGGTACATCATCATTAAGGCAACCTATAGAGCCCTCCTGCACAGCAGAATACTGCCCAGGAGAGTGCAGAGCCAAGAAACTCAAATAAAGGGATCAAAGATCTCCAATCCTCTACTCTGACAAAACACTGTAAATCAATCAAAGAAAGAGCAACACTGCAAGACAACTATACAGCTAAAAAAAAAAAAAAAAAACCCCAGAGAGACAGGGAAGAGATGAGCTTCATCCGGACAGGCTCACTCAATATCTGGCACTGCTGTATGAGGATGAAAGGTCGCAGTGTGGCTTTTGTTGAGTGAAGCGTCTCTGGGACTCAATAACAGGACTGTGGCTTGCTGAATGGGCTTGCCAGCAAAAACTGTTTACGCTGAGATGCACCCTGCCTTTCATGGTCGGGCGTGCCTCCTGAAAAGCCGTCTGTCTCGGCCTTAAGCCTGGGAAGGAGGAAGCTTTGAGAACATGCAAGGGTCTGCATTGTGGGAGCACTACGACGTCAGGATGTGATGCTAAACTTTGTTCGAATGAAGCTTTATGAACTGAGGGACTGCAGAGAAAGACACTTTGTAAATAACTGATTTCTTTTATTATTTTCTGTCTTTTCAAAGATGAGTTAGGCTTATCTAAGGGTTGTTTGTGATCAGCTGGATACATATCCTTCTAGCTCTGCTGCACTTCTTTTTAGTGATGCTGCCATGATCCTAATTCAGACATCTGCAAGTGAAGGCCAAATGATTCAAACTTTATTATTTTTATTTTTTTTACTTTTTATTATGATTCAAACTTTAGAATGGCACAGTCAGGGACTGTTTTAACATTTTGATAAGCAGTTGTTTATCTCAGTCATTGTATCAAGAATCCTCACTAAATGTCTTCTCATTAACTTAACGATGAATATAAAATGAATGTTTTTATAAAGACATGCATCTGACTGCAGAATCTTCACACCAATGAAAAGTCTTTAGTTTTGAGAAGTGTTCTGGTTTCTAATTTTTAGTCCAAGTAGTATTGACTAATCATCTCAGAGAGTTTTTTTTATTTGTATGCAAAGAGGCAGAATTAATTTGCCAATGTAAAGTGCAATAAAGGACCTTGAAAGAAAGGTGCTTCTTTCAGATTTGAGAGGTCTGCAATGAGGTGAAATTTCAGTCGCAAAACCACAACATGCATACAAAGATTTAATAGCAAGGCAAAAACATCCTTGCATCATTTGGCAAACAAGAGGACGAGATACAAGCTGGACCTTACTCCAAACTAATAGGCTTCGTCCGATCTGTGCTGTCACTTTCAAAATCCTGCATGACATTGACGCCCCTTCCACAGATCCCAATCAAAGCATACCAACAGATAGAGGGTAGGCCTCTGCGGTGCATTGCACAGTAAGTGGCAGAAGCAGCTGATGGACAGAGTCCTAATCCTGTGGATTATAAATGAATGGCCTCATTCACACAGGCCGCTCTTCCCATGCCAATTCCAGTTTCCAATCGGACCTACCACCAACTGCACACGGGCATAAATCTAAGAACTATTCCCCTTGGAGGACTTCGGTGACTTTTAGTGGATCATTTTGCCCTTGAAATGAATGCAAAAAGCTGAGGGTGTCCCGCATGGATTTGGTGCCAGTAAAAAAAACGCAACAGCTGTATTGGAGCCAACGAGCCACCAGCTGGCCCAGGAAGACCATCTGAACACGCATAGAGCTCAGAGAAGTGCCGAGGCCCGCTCAGTGGAGAGAGATTCAAGTGGATCTTGTGTCTGTTTTGCGCCGAGGGCTCTCGCGGCGAGTGGTTACAAGTGGGGTGACCTTGAGGGTACAAGAGCAGCATTGTTGGTTCTCACTTCAAAGTCGCAGATGAAAGCATCACCCCCGAGCATGAAGCGCTGTGTGAAGGACTCTTAACAAAAGGCGGCCAAGCCAAGACACGTCAGGGTTTCTTAAAATCTTATCCGAGTCTATTTCATCTTTAAATGAAGGGGCTTTGCCTTCATGCAAATGAACAGTGGAGTCATTTAAATCACACCTCGCTCTTAATAATAAAAGGGATTGTACTCTGTGATACCCTATCTATTTCATTTGCCAATAATCCTTATTTCATAAGAATCAACTTTTTAATTAAAAGCCACAGTCTTAATTAAACATTTAATTAAACATGGGTAGTCATGGGATTCCCATCTCGAATGTGACTGATGTACTAACGAGGCCTGCCAGCCTGTTAAATAAACATTTACTGATATAGCGATACACATGGTAAGGAAGCAGTGCATGTCTTGAATACGTGCCGTGCCCCCCCCCCCCCCCCCCCTCGATCGGAGAAGCTGCAGCGGTTAGTTTGTGTAATCTTATCAGATGGTGGAACTCGGCCCTACATCCTCTGACAAAGAGACAGCAGCTGGTGGAGCCTTTCTCTGCTGTGAAAAATGAACTGAGATCCCGAAGATGATAATCCAAGTCTATTGATCGAAGGCTCACAGATGACTGGGAGACTGATGCTCTTGCCTAACTGGTGCTAGCGGCTGATGCTCCATCTGCGAGGCGATGTAAGGCAGAGTCCCCCGTTATCTGCAGAGAAGCTGTGAAGACTGCTGCTTTTAGGTAACAGATGAAGACAACTTGGATCTTTTTGCATAAACATCCATGGACTGGAGAAGCCAATTTGTAATAGTCTCTTGTGAAATCGAGCACCAACAGTCTGAGTAGTTTAAAAAGTTGGTGGATTTATGGTACAAACATAGCTGTGAGATATCGTTTCATGTCTGTGTATACACAAAAGCTAAAGAACAACCAAAACAAAGACTATTTTTCTTCTTTTCATGGTAGGAGTAGTTTGCTTATTGCTACAGC